TTGAAGAAGCTATCAGAAGATGGAAAGATCTCCCATGCTCATGGATCAGTAGGATTAACATAATAAAAAATGGTCATCTTACCTAAAGCAATCTACAGATTCATTGCAATCCTCATCAAAATTCCAACACAGTTCTTTACAGACCTTAAAAGAACAATGCTCAACTTCATATGAAAAACAAAAAATCCAGGAGCTAAAACAATACTAAACAATAATAGATCTTTCAGAGGTATTACCATCCCTATTTCAAGCTGTACTACAGAGCAATAGTAATAAAAACCACATAGTATTGCCATAAAACCAGACAGATTAATCAAGACCCAGACGTAAATCCACACACCAATGGACACCTGATTTTTTTATAAAGAAGCTAAAAATATACAATGAAAAAAGAAAGCATCTTCAATGAATGGTGCTGGTCTAATTGGAAATTGACATGTAGAAGAATGCAAATAGATCCATATCTATCACCCTTTACAAAACTCAAATCCAACTATATGGACTTGGACTCAACATAAAACCAGATACACTGAATCTAGTAGAAGAGAAAGTGGGGAATACCCTTGAATGCATTGGCATGGGGACAGCTTCCTGAACAAAACACCAATATTGAAGGCACTAAGATCAACAACCAAAAAATAGGACCTCATGAAACTGAAAAGCTTCTGTAAGGCAAAGGATACCATCAATAGGACAAAGCAGCAGCTCACAGAATGGGAAAAGATCTTCACTAACCCCACATCTGGCAGAGGGCTAATATCCAAAATATATAAAGAACTCAAGAAACTAGACATCAACAAACCAAATAATCCAGTTTAAAAATGAGATACAGATCTAAACAGAGAATTCTCAACAGAGGAAATTCAAACAACCAAGAAAAAAAGAAATGTTCATCTTTCTTAGCCATCAGGGAAATGCAAATCAAAATGACTTTGAGATTCCATCTTACACCTGTCAGAATGGCTAAGATGAAAAACACAAGTTATAGCTTGTGCTGGTGAGGATTTAGAACAAGGAGAACACTCTTCCATTGCTGGTGGGAGTGTAAACTTGTACAGTCACTCTGGAAATCAATATGGCAATTTCTCAGATAATTGGAGATAGATCTACCTCAAGACCCAGCTATACCATTCCTGGGCATACATCCAAAGGACACTCTATCCTACCATAAGGACACTTACTTGCTCAACTATGTTCATAGCAGATTTATTCATAAGAGCCATAACCTGGAAACAACCTAGACATCCCTCAACTGAAGAATGGATAAAGAAAATGTGGTACATTTATACATGCGGTATTACCCAGCTGTTAAAAAAAAATACATCATGAAATTTTCCAGCAAATGGATGTAACTAGAAAAAAAAATCATCCTGAGTGAGGTAACTCAGACCTAGAAAGACAAACATGGTATGCATTCACTTATAGGTGGATATTAGCTGTCAAGTCTGTGAAGTAAATGTTAATCATGCTACAATCCACAGACCCAGAAAAGAAAAGTAACAAGGAGAGCTGAAAGAGGGGCACATGGATCTCCCTGGGAAGGAGAAGTAGATTTTGTGGGTTGACTGGGGGCAGGCAGGGATGGGAACAGAGGGTATCAGGTGGGAAAGATGACTGGAATTAGGGGGCATTGCAGGGAGAGGTAGAAACCTAATGTAATGGAAACTCCCTGGAATCTATGAGGGTGATCCTAGCAAAGTAATGGGGGATACACAGTCTGAACTGGCCATCTTCTATAGCCAGGCAAGGCTTTCAGCAGTGGAACTGAGACACCAACCCATCCACAAAACCTTCAACCTACAATTTGTCCTGCCTGCAAGATGTGCTAGGGTAAAGGTGGTACAGAACTTGTGGGAGTGGCCAACCAATGACTGGGCCAACTTGAGATCCGTGCCACTAGAGGGAGCCCATGCCTGACACTTCCTGGATGGCCAGGAACCAGAGCTTGGACAGCCCAGAGAAACAGGATAGAACCAAACATGACTGGTTAAAAAAAAAAAAAAAAAGTCATTGAAATGATTTCTAATGATACTCTGCTATACTCGTAGACCAGAGCCTAACATAATCGTCATCAGAGAGGCTTCATCCAGTAACTGATGGGAGCAGATGTCAAGACCCATAGCCAAACATTAGGTGGAGCTTAGGGAATCCTTCAGAAGAGGGGGAAGAAGGATTGTAGGAGTCAGAGGGGTCCACAAGAAAATGGCCAACAGAATCAACTAACCAGGGTTTATAGGGGCTCACAGAGACTGAACCGACAGTCAGGGAGCCTGTGTGGGGTTGAGCTATGTCCTCTGCATATATGTTATGGGTGTGTAGCTTGGTCTTCTTGTGGGGCCCCTAACAGTGTGAGTGGGGGTATCTATGACTCTTTTGCCTGCTTTGGGGACCCTTTTCCTCCTACTGGGTTGCCTTTTCCAACGTTGATATGAGAGTATGTGCCTAGTCTCATTGTAATTTGTTTATGTCATGTTTAGATGATATCCCTGCTCTCCTCTGAAAGAAAATAGAGGAGGAGTGGATCTGAGGGAGGTGGGAGGTGGGGAGGAGGAACTGGAAGGAGAGGAGGGAGAAGAAAACGTGGTCGGGATGTAATATATGAGGGAAGAATAAACTAGTAAATAGATGATTGATAGATGATAAATAGATAGATAGTAGATAGATAGATAGATAGACAGACAGACAGACAGACAGACAGACAGACAGACAGACAGACAGACAGATAGATAGATAGATAGATAGATAGATAGATAGATAGATAGATAAAAATTCCTCACTGTGTGATGGTTCTTCAGTGGCTCTCACTGCCAGTGATGTTGTGTGTCTTGCTGCCTTGGTGTGGCCTTGCTGGGTCCTGGTTTTCTTTGGATCTCCAACTCTTCAGTCCATTTTGCTCTCTTCCCAGTCTCTGAGTCTATGCTCACCATTCCTGAAGACGGGTGTGCTCAGCTTTGCACTATTCCTCTGCCTGTGTGGGCTGTTCCGTTTCCCAGACATCCTTGGAAAACAAGGAAGTTAAAGTTGTGTGCTGTGGGATGTTCTGTATGTCAAATGTGTTGCTGATTAGTCAATAATTAAAACACTGATTGGCCATTGGCTAGGCAGGAAGTGTAGGCGGGACAAGGAGGAGAATAAAGCTGGGAAGTGGAAGGCTGAGTCAGAGAGACACTGCCAGCCGCCACGATGACAAACAGCATGTGAAGATGCCGGTAAGCCACGAGCCATGTGGCAAGGTACAGACTTATAGAAATGGATTAATTTAAGCTGTAAGAACAGTTAGCAAGAAGCCTGCCACGGCCATACAGTTTGTAACCAATACAAGTCTCTGTGTTTACTTGGTCGGGTTTGAGCGGCTGTGGGACTGGCAGGTGAGAGAGATTTGTCCTGACTGTGGGCCAGGCAGGAAAACTCAAGCTACAAATGGCGTCCAACGTGGGACAAGAGTTTCCACCTAAAAACTGAGAAAAAAAGATTCTAAAATGGAGCTAAAAACAGTTCCTAATTGTCTCTCTCAAATGAGCAGCAGCTGCTGGTTTGAGCTACTTGTGGGTTCCTGGTGTGCATGCTCGACATGCTGTATGGCAGGAATGAGGCCTCTGCAAGTGGCATATTAAGCTGCATGGTGGATTTAGACTTTGCTAATACAAAACAAAACAAAACAAAACAAAACAAAAAGGTTTCTGGACTACACGCTGCTTGGATAAAAGCATAGACCCACGATAGCTCCCAGAGCTGGTGGTAAACGTAGCCATGTTGGGAAGCTGAGGTGGGAGGAGCCAGCAGTCACAGCTGCTGCAGTTTAAGGCAATAGATTCACAATAAGACAGATTCAGATGTAATAGTTTACAATGTGTGTAAAAGATACGTAGGCTTGAAAGAGACAAAAAAGATGATATATAGAGTTATAGAAACATAGTTTTAAAAAATAAAGTCTTTAAAGAGACAGTAAAGGTAGTATAAAAAATAAGCCACGTAAAAATGGATATTACACAGAGAATCTGCATTGTGTTGTCTTTGGGACTTTTAACTGCAGAAAAACATTTGATTGTAAAAGCTGTTGAGTTATGCCAAAATGTATATTTTAAAGGTACCTTGACTTCAAAATTTGGATATAAGGATATGTTACTTTGGAAAGGAGACTCTGCTTTTGTTCCCACAGAAAGCCAGAGGCTATGGATTTGTTCCAGATTAAGATACATCAGGTTTGACCAGCCAAGACCCCCTGAAAGGTCTCCGATGACACCATGGCCCAGATGATCCAACCTCCAGAATGGTTTGAAGGCAACTGGCTCAGACGATACACCCTCATGGACTATTCCATAATCCAAAAATGTTCTTTGTATCCCCATAAGCTGCAGCGCCCCCCTCCAGCAGGAAGTAGTAAGAGAAGCTACACCCAAATTCCCAAATTATATGTAATTTTAATTTGTTAAGGTTAAAACCTTCCTTTTTGAAAAAAAAAAGGGGGGAAGTGCTGTGGGATGTTCTGTATGTCAAATGTGTTGCTGATTAGTCAATAATTAAAACACTGATTGGCCATGGGCTAGGCAGGAAGTGTAGGCGGGACAAGGAGGAGAATAAAGCTGGGAAGTGGAAGGCTGAGTCAGAGAGACACTGCCAGCCGCCACGATGACAAACAGCATGTGAAGATGCCGATAAGCCACGAGCCATGTGGCAAGGTACAGACTTATAGAAATGGATTAATTTAAGCTGTAAGAACAGTTAGCAAGAAGCCTGCCACGGCCATACAGTTTGTAACCAATATAAGTCTCTGTGTTTACTTGGTCGGGTTTGAGCGGCTGTGGGACTGGCAGGTGAGAGAGATTTGTCCTGACTGTGGGCCAGGCAGGAAAACTCAAGCTACAGTTGTGTCATCATGACAACCCAAGGTAGAGCTGACTTCCCCGTGTCCCACACTGAACGTTGTCACTCGTAGACACATGGGATCCTCGAAAACTTTCCGACTTAAAAAACACCATCGTGAAACACAGCTCTAGTATAGGAGGGATCGATCTTCTTCTGAGCCAGGTCTTGGTGACCACAGCCTGGGAACAGATTCGGAGTGACCTCTGTTGTCTGCTATGGAAGTGATTGCTGTCACTTTTGTAGTCACAGAAAGAAACAATGACAGTCTAAATGAAAGCGCTTATCAAATGCATTGCCAGCGACAATAGGTAGGTGGATTCCAACTAAGTGAAGAAATTTCCTTGTTCAGATGCTGATGGTGTTTTTAACTTTGGGCTGGTATTTGCCAAAGGTTTTAATGTGATAGCTGAACAGGGGTCAGGTCAGACATAGATGTGAGCAATATGGGTATTTAGGAAACTAAAGGTAGCCCAAAATAATTCATCTCCTGATCTGTAACATTTCAACCATGAAGTGCTAATCCAGCGGTTCTCAACCTGTGGGTCGTAACCCCTTCGGGGGAGGGGTGTCACATATCAAATATCCTGCATATCAGATATTTACATTATGATTCATAGCAGTACCAAAATTACAATTATGAAGTAGCAATAAAATAATTTTGTGGTTGGGGGTCACCACAGCATGAAGAACTGTATTAAAGGGTCACAGCATTAGGAAGGTTGAGAACCACTGTTCTAACCAATCAGCATTGTAGAATCTTCAGCATGGGTGTAGTTTTAGAGGAAGATTTCAGTTCACAAAAGCTTGTGGGGATTTTCTGAGGCTGCCTTGTGCTCCAAGACTCATTGTGTGCCCTGGTAAGATTACTTGTTCTTAAGACAGGACCCAACTACAGTCAATATTTATGTCCCTCTTCCAAGGGGATATCCATTTATATTCACACCCTGTTACTGCAGAATTGCAAGCAGCCCTGGGCTTTGAAGATGTACTTCCTCCCTTTCTCACTGTTTGTAGCCTGGCCTTGTATCCTGGCGTGGCTTTCCATACTGTTCTTGGGGTGCTTCCTTCCCCGCCCTCCTGCTTGAATGAACGTGAAGACCCTAATATACAGCCTCCTGTTCTGAATTTTGGGAACTTTTTAAAAATAATCTTACTTTGTGTGTACACACTCACGTGTTTGCAGGTGCCCATGTTTATTCATGCATGTGGCCGCTAGAGGACAGCCTGGAGTGTTGTCCCTCGGGCACCATCCATCTTAGTTTTGGAGACAGATTTCTCTCACTGGAATGGAGTCATGAAGAAGGCAAGGCTGGATGGCTAGAGAGCCCTGGGGAGAGCTGACTAAGTCTTTCCAGCACAGAAATTATATACGTGTACCACCAGGCCTGGCTTTTCCTTAATGTGGGTTCTGGGGATCAGACTCAGATCCTTATGCTAATGTAGCAAACATTTTTTTGACTGAACACCAGCCCACATCGATCTCTTTAACCAGAAAAATATATTCTGGATTTGTAAGTTTTGCTTTATTATTTTATTTTGAACTTTTTTTTTATTATTAGGAACAAAAGTCTCTTAGTAAGAACAATCCTTCCGGCTTTGATTGCTACTCCCTTTCACAGAGTTCTCCACCTGTTAAATACTTTAACATTTGTAGCCCTGGGGATGGGGGTGTGAGGGGGGAGACTCCTCCTCTCCATAGGAACAGAGGATGCCCAGAACAAAATGGTTAGATATGGGAATTCTGGGCTTTTGATTTGGGGATTTTATGATGCAACAAAAGCATTAGAAATCATTCTTCAGGTTTTTTCATTGTGACTTTTTTCTGGACCCACAGTGACATGCAGTTGACCATTGTTTCCAGTGCTAGGTAGTGGCAGGCTTCAGCTGCGGCTACCAGTAAAACTGTGAGAGGTAAAGAGATAGTGCTCTGTGATGTGCTGTGTGGATTAACTAAGAAGGTCTATGAGTTTAGAGCATGAAATGCATTTTAGGGCTTGCTGATTTTTCCAATTTACAATGAGACTATCAGGATATAGACCCATCATTAATTCAAGAAGCATTGTGTGCTTAGGAAAATAGAATCATACACAGTGACAGCCCCAGAATATGCATGATAGTAATTGTCTCCCTTTCACTCCCACTTTCCCTTTCCAAATTGGACATCCTATTATCCGCTTGGAAAACCACGCTGTTGGTCTTAGTGAAAAGGACAGAACAATGCCATGAGTGCTCACAACGTGCTCAGAAGGGTGGAACAAAACCCACCCAGGTTCCAGTGACAGTATCGATCCTAGACTGAAATGCAGCTGTATCTGGCTTCATTTGCCAGAGGGGAGCGTGATCAGTTTCATTTTCTCTGTGACATTTATCAGTTTAGGGAGGGCCTGACAGAGGGAAGAGTATGAGCTACAGAGATGACAAGGTTAAGCAGCCAGGGGTCTGTTCTGAAGCATCGTGTTCAGTCGGTTGACATGCTTGGTTCGGCAATCAATCTTGACCTGGTTAGGCTTCAAGTGGGAGTAATTTCTGGAAGATTTAGCCTGCACCACAAAACGAGATAGGAGAACAAAGTGTCTGAAGCCAGTCTTCATATTTTGAGAAAAGATTCATAATTTAAAAATAGAAGCCCAAGTGTCTTCAGCCAGGAAGTCGTTTGATTAGATTCACACAGAAAGTATCAGCTAGCCACAGAAAGTATCATGGAGCCCAGACCCTTCTAGCCCTGTAGAGAGGAAATTGTCTCCACTGTGTATACCAAGGCCAAGAGACCCTTCCACTAAAGGCCCTCCATCCTGAGAAGCCAGGCTTGACATTTACACCTCATTTTTTCCTCTTATTGTCTTGCTCTGTTCTCAATGCCCAGCGAGTCCTTAGTCTCAGGAATAGAGTGTCCACCAAGGAACCTGTCACAGACAGAGCCGTGCAGTTAGTGCATGACCCACCACATCCATCTCTGCTCATCCTGTGCTTCATCCCTGCACACTCTGACAGGTCGAGCTGCCTTTGCCATTCCTAGACTGGTGATTCTGGGTTCTATTAGAAAGCAGGCTGAGCAAGCCATGAAGAAGCCAGTAAGCAGCACCCCTCCATGGCCTCTGCATCAGCTCCCGCCTCCAGGTTCCTGCCCCATTTGATTTGTGCCCTGACTTCCTACGATGATAAACGGTAATTTGGAAGCATAAGTCAAATAAACCCTTTCCTCCCCAAGTTGCTTTGGTCATGGTGTTTCATCACAGAATTGGAATACCTAACTTGGACAGAATTTGGTACCAGGAGTGGAGTACTGATGTGACAGACTTGATAATGCCTTTTGGGGAGGACTGTGGAAGGACTTTGGAACGACTTTGGAACTTGGGCTGGAAAAGGCATTAAGTGTTCAAAGCTTACTGAGCTGTTCTGTGGAAGCTTGGAGGGCTCAAAGTTTGGTGAGCTGTTTTGTGGGAGTCTGGAAGATAAGAATCCCGAGAGCAGTGCCGATGACGGAAGTCTGGCTTGTGAAGTTCCAGAGGGACATTTGAGAGTCCATTAATGACTGTTATCAGGGCCATGTGTTATTTTATGTGAAGAATCTGTGGTTCTGGTCAGCTGAGACTGAAGAATCAGCTGTGATTAACAAGAGACTAGAACCACTAAAGTAAAAATTTTGTTTTTCTGGAACAATTGATGCTGGTTCTGGTGGTGATTAAGAAAAGACCAGCCCTGTTGAAGTGAAATCTTCTGGGAAATATTTTCTCAAGGTCAACAAACAGAAGCTGTGTTCCGGGGCAGCGGAGATTGTACCTCACGCTGGCAGCTCAACTTGGTAACGTAAAGGTCACCCAGGTGGTACTGGTTTTGAAGGTATAAAGGGGTCATGAGGAGCACCTGAAGCTCAGCATTGTGAGAGGCCAGGAGAGGCCATTGGTGAAGACGCAGCCTCAGAGGCAGTTGAAAGCCCAGGATTAAAGAGGTCATACAGAGAAGTTGAGGCTTGGCGTCATGAAGAGAGCCCAGAAGAAACTATCGGTGAAAGCTACTGATGAAGCCAGCTGTAGCAGAAGACCCCGCAGCTTTGGAGATGCCAGCACTCTGGGATGACTACCAAACCAGCAGCAGCCATGGAGTGAAACCAGCTGGAGCCTAGAAGACAAGAACACTGACGATCGTGAGTCAATCCCAGACATTGGACACTGAGTAGTTACACTTTTGAAGTTTGGTTTTTGCTTTGTTCAGATTGTGACTGTGTCCTGGTTCTTCTCTCTTGAAAGAAGAATGTATTTAACTTTTTTTTATTTTATTTTACAAGAGCCCCCAGTTGAGTTTGAGCTTTTAAAGAGATTTTTGGAATTTTTACAAAGACTTTGGATTTTAAATGAGACAATATTTTAAAGAGACTGAATTTTTAAAGTGTTTGGATTTTTTAAAACTGTGGGCTTTTAAGTTTTGGAATGTTTATATTTTAATGTTGATCTGTGCTAGGGTGAGTGGTGAAGTGGAGGGCGCAGTACCGGACCCAAAGCCACCGCTCCTTAAAAGCCCTTTGGTGGGTATCCACGGCCTCCTTAAAACCCCTTTAGAGGGCCTCCTCAGCCCACCTGGACAGCACCTTCTTCAAAATCTTTGATGACTTCCTGTTTAGTGAGTCTCTTGAACTGCCCTGACCAACCTCTCAAAATGATGTTTCTCATGCCTGGCACTGGAGTTTTTATTGAATAGTCTTTGGCTCTAAGGATGATGGCTAATTAACTAGCCATTTTTATTTCTTCTTTTAGAACATGCTGTTCAAATATAAAACCCATTTAAAATTGGGTAAGTTGTTTTTTGACTGTGTTTTGACTTCTTATATATTCTGGATATATATTTGTATATTCTGGATGTTAATCCTCTGTCAGATATATAGCTGGCAAAGATTCTCTCCCACTATGTGGATTCTCTCCACTTTATTGTTTCCTTTACTGTACAGAAGCCTTTTAGTTTTTTGAAGTCCCACTTGTCAATTGTTGGTCTTAATTCCTGGACAAATGAAGTCTTATTCACAAAGTCTGTTTCCACACCTATATCATGTAGAGTGCTGCCTATATTTTCTTCTAGCACTTTCAACATTTCACATCAAGATTTCAAGCCATTCGGAATCAGTTCCATGCTAGGTGATGGATATGTGTCTTAATTCTTTCTTCTGCATGTGGACATCCAGTGCTCCCAGCATCGTTTGTTGGGGATGGCCTCTTGTCTCCAGTGCATGTTTGTAGCATCTTTGTCAAATAGCAAGTGGCTATAATTGTATGTTCTCATTTAGGAGTCTTTTATTTTGTTCCATTGATCAACATGTCTGGTTTTTGTGCTAGGACATTATTTTTATTTTTATTACTATGGCTCTGTCATATGTCTTGAAATCTAGAATGGTAATCCCTTCAGTATTTCTTTCTTTCTTTTCATGGGATTACGTTTGGCTATCCAAGGTCTTTTGTGGGTCCATATAAATTTTATGATGTTGTTTTTGATTTCTATGGAAAAATGTTGTGGGGATTTTGTTTGAGATTTTGTTGACTCTCTAAATAGCTTTGGTATAATGATAGTTTTCACAGTATTAATCCTACCAATTCGAGAACATAGGAAGGTCGTTCCATTTCCTAGTGTCTACCTCAATCTCTTTCTTCAGATATTGAAATTATTCCCTGTATAAGTTAGTGAGCTGCTTCTTTGTTCCTTCTCTAAACTCCTTGAATTCTTTGGCGAAGTTTGTGATTCTTTTAAATTTTGTATCTTAGGTTTCATCTAGGTAATTCTAATGGAGGAACACCTCTGTAGGACTTGAAGGTTTGGGAGCACATACTATCTTGATCTTTCATAGTGTTAGTGTTTTTGCAATGAGACATAGGTATGCATACTTCTTTTTTGGTTCTGTGTCTTATGTGGACATGGCAAGTTTGGATGGGGCACTGAATATGCAGACTAGGTTAAGCCTGGATGTTGGGCATGGTGTGGATGGCATGCAGTCAGATGAACATAGGACTGTGCTGGCATTCAGGATTTGCATCCTGGCCCAAGCCTAGATGTTGGAGATGGGAGCAAGACTCACCAGTCTAGGCCTAGATACTTGATATGGGACTTGGGCTACATCTGAATATAGGGTACATGGAGGATAGAATTAGGCAGACTCACCAGGCTAGGGTGTCAACACAAGATGTATGGGACCAGGCTGAGTCTGGAGATTGGATTTAGAGTGGGAGAGATGAAGTCAGAGGTCATAGTGGGGCCTAGGCTGGCACACAGGATGTAAGTCCTGGCCCATGCCTAGAGATTGGGGATAGCACACATGGAGCTCACCAGATGAAGCTGGGGCACTGGATATGGGACTCAGGCTAGAACTGAGGATGTGGAGCATGCACAGAAGATAGAATCAGATCGTTTCACCTGCCTAGGTCCAAGATGTTTGAGTTCCAGCTGGGCTAGGAGGTGGAAGGTGGCATGGAAGGAGCGAGGTCAGGTGATCACAGGGGGCTTTAGGCTGGCCCATACATAGAATTTTTAAAAGTTGCTCTCAGATTAGAATGGTGGGTACCAGAGGCTGGAGAGGGTGAAGAGCAAGGAAGGATATGAAATGGCTGATCATTGGATAGGTACCAAGTTATACTTCCATAAGGAATTGAGAAGTTCTGCTATGATATTTCACAGTTTAATGACTATAGATAGGATTGTTTATTATTGACATTAGAAGAGAAATTTTTGTGAGGTTTTTTTGCCACAAATAACTTTTTGATAATATAGATGTCTTTAACCTGATTGCAGAAAGTATACACATATCGAACAACAATATGATACCCTGCTAATGCATATAGTTATCATTTTTATACATTAATTAAAATTAAGTTTAAAATAGGAAACAGAAGGGGTAAGAAGAGGGAGGGATATGCTCTAAGTATATTATATGCTTGCAATAATGGACTTATGTAACTGTATAATAAAAAAGAAAAAATGTAAAATTTAAAAATAACCTTGTTAATGGGAGAAAGAAACAAGGAAGAAGTGGGTGAGGTACTTGATTTGTATAATAAGGAAATAAGGCAGGACATTAAGACAGAGTCACCATGGAAGAACAATTTGGTTTGAAATGCCAGGGCTTTGAGGAAGCACAGATATAGTTTAAGCAGAAATCGTTGTCAGAGCATGGCAAGGTTTGAAGTCGAGTCATCCAGAGAGGTTTTGTAAAGAAAAATTGCTTTGCACGAAAAGTGATCTCTCCTATTTGATGTTCTCTTATGTAAGGATTTAAGTGTCTTTTGATGTTGACACCTGTAAAACTGTATTTCTTTGAATAAATGTGGCAGTGCCTATAGCCCCAGGTGTGTGAAATCCTACTTGTGTATCAATGATTATATGCAGGGTGGCTGGCTGCGTGCAAAAATCCATGTCCCCTAGGGGAATGTAATTGGCATGTCACTAAAGCTCATCGTGTATATGAATAATCCAGCATGAATTAAGTTCAAAGTGATCCATGGACCTCTCTAAGTTTCATGTGTGTGTAAACACGGGCTGTTTCTGCTAGTGTCATGTGTGTGTA